CCCAGGCAGGTCTCGAACCCGCGGGCTCAGGCAATCCACTCACCTCAGCCTCTCAAAGCGTGGGATTACAGGCTGAACCACCGAGCCCGGCAAAATCTTGTAAAAATAATAAATTAGTCGGGCATAGTAGCAAGCACCTGTAGTTTTAGCTACTCGGAAGGCTGAGGCAGAAGGATTGCCAGAGTCCAGCAAGTCGATGCTGGAGCGGCCGCGAGTGTGCCACTGCACTCTAGCCTGGGCGACAGAGTGAGACTCCAACTCAAAAACAAACAAACAAATTTTAAAAGCCCCAGCTGAGGGCAGGGGAGGTCAGGTGTGGGGGGTGAGAGGTGAGGCTTCCAACAAAACCCCAGAATTCATACTCCATGGAGTGGAATAGATTCGGGGGAGTCTTAGAAATTGCCTGAGGCTCCAGGGTGGGGTTCAGAAGGTCTCTCACCAAGTCGCTCTTGAAGGTTTCCTGGAAGCAGCAGCCTCTTGGGAACATTTATATTACAGGAAGGTCACAGACTCTCGAGTGGACATTGCCGACATGAGGTGGGGCCGTCAAAAGGTGTGGAGCAGGACAGGACCCAAGGGGGCAGTGAGTGACGGCACCTGGGACAAGAGGGTGGAAGGAGATAATTGGAGTTGCCTGGGGAGTCCCAGAGAGGGCGTCTTATGAGACAGTGAGGAGAAAGCACAGCCTCCCTCTGACTAGTTCGCAAAGGCTTCCAGGAAGAGGCGGCCATTCTGGGACATTCCAGGACGAGGCGTGATGGGAAGAAGGTTGAGGGTGGGACGTGACCCAGGGGAGCAGTGAGTGCAGACAAGACCCCAGCCCTGGAAGACTGTGACCCTCAGGGCAAGGCCTCGGGCTCCGCTGGGCAGGGTGGTCGGGTAAAGGGGCCAGATGCTCATGAGGTTATGGGGTCTCTGTCCCTCCCTTGGGCAGAACCACAAGCCAAGGCCCAGGTCCCTCCAGGACAGCTGGGCCAGGCTGATCCGGCCTGAGTTTCCCCCAGGCCCTGGACTACCAGGAACCAGCCGCATGAGAATCAGGCCTCTCTCCCCTCTGCCCTCAGCCCTGATCCCTGCCAAAGCTCCGCCAGGAAGCCAAACAGCCCTGGGCTCAGCAGGGACACAGATGTCACCCAGCACCCTCATCACGGTCCCATGCAAAGGTGGACACCCTCAAAGGGGCTCGCACCCTTTTTCTGATCGGTCCTGCTGACCTGGGCAGGTGTCTTTGTTCTGGAAACGGGAGGGGGCTGCCCCCCGGGCTCCCAAATCCTCTGGACCCTTGCCCATCCTCAGAGTCCAGGCCCAGCTCAGAGTGGAGGTTTGGGTGGGGGTGGGCAGTGGAGGGCAGAGGACACAGGAGTCTCCCTCCTTCCGTCACCTCCACTTCCTCCTGCTCCACGGAGAGAGAGAAAGGGATCTGGTTCCCTCGTTTTCAGTGAACTGGAGGAGGGCAGAGGCTCAGAGGAAGGGGGTGTTCTCAGGTCTCCAGTTGTCTGCCTCCCACGCTCGGCCCCGCCCTCGGCCCAGATCCCTTGAGGCCCGCCCCACACCTGCTCCAGGGGCAGGGAGCTCACCATCCAAGCCTCCCCAGAGGCCAGCCACAGGCACCCTACGGCAGGGTGGGGGCTGCGGGGCCTTCCTGGTGCTCCCCCAACAAAGCTCCCTCTCTCTGCCCTCAGACTCCACCCAAAATTTTTATACAAGTGAAATCAGGCTAAGGAAAGCATCAAAAGCAGCCTTGAAAGGGTGAAGGAGTCCTACATGTGCAGAGGCGGTGTGGCAAGGAGCAGGCCCCATGGCCGAGGCGAGGATGTTTCCAAAGAAGCAGCAGGCCTCTTCCTCTCCACAGCGGTTGTGGCCCCAGCAGCACATGCTCGTGAATTATCCGCCAAACCCGCCCAACCACCCCCACAGCTAAGACTGAATCCCACTGGACAGCCCAGGACACAGAGGCTCAGAGGGGTTAAGAACTTCCCCAAAGTCACACAGCCAGGAAGGGTCCAAGCTGACCCCGGAACCAGGTCTTCCAGCTCCGATCCCATCACTAAACCAGGTGGCTAAACCCAGCTGCCTCCCCATGAATGAATGCAATCTGAGTACCATCTAGGGCCAGTTGGTGAAGCTGGCCACTCCTCCATCACCAGCTGCCAGGGTCTCTCCACCCTGCCCTGAAAAACAGATGTGGGATGTGGGGGTGAGTAGGAATTCATCAGACCGATCCCAGGGAAAGACCTGAGGTTGTCAGGCTGTGGAGATGCGGATAGACCCAGGGCAGAGAGTAAGGCATCTCATGCAGGACTTGGGGGAATGGCAGTATGGCAGCAGCGTTTGGTTATGGAAGCCTTCCTGGAGGAGTAGCCCATGAGGAAGCTCATCAGCTCTTCTTCCTTAAGTCTCAAGCTCCTTGGATGTCCAGTCTCCCTAGGGGTAGATATCACATCCCCAAGGTTTATGCTCAATAAATATAAAGAGAATAGCCCTCATTACCCTAATAAGTGGCCCAAGGACACGCAGCAAGGCTGGGATTTAGAAAGATGAGGCTCCCAGAGCCCCCGGAAGCCAGAAGTCAGTCTGCTCTGTCAGCGATAAGCCACCACCCCACTTCTGTCTTCACACAGAGCAGTCTCTAAACACCCCATAGGGATGACCATGCTGGGGCTGTGAACAGAATGGGCACCTCTCTGGCTGGTCTTGGAAGGGAGACTCACATGCTCTGTTTCTTTTTCAAGGCCAAGGGGAAGGTGCCCAGAGCAAGTTTACAGCCACCAGGCTGTCGCAAGGCTGGGTCCTTCAATCCTTTTGGCCAAATGGAAGAAAGTGACTATAGGGGAGTCTCCCCATTATCCACAAGTGGCCATAGAGGAATCTTCCCATTATCCACGACTGACTTCAGGGAAGTCTCCCCATTATCCACAATTGAACATAAGGGAGTCTCCCCATTAGCCACAATTAGCCTCAGGGAAGTCTCCCCATTACCCACAAGTAGCCATAGGGGAATGTCTCCGTTATCCACAAGTCGCCATAGGGAAGTCTCTCCATTATCCACAAGTGGCCATAAGGGCATCTCCCCATTATCCACAATTGGCCATAACGAATTCTCCCCATTACCCACAAGTAGCCATAGGGGAGTCTCTCTACTATCCACAAGGGGCCATAGAGGTATCTCTCCTCGATCCACAAGTGGCCACAGAGAAGTCTCCCTATTATCCACGAGTGGCCATAGAGGCATCTCCCCATTATCCACAAGTGGCCATAAATGTGACTTGCACTTTTTTTTGCTGGGTGTCAAAAGAAAGCTCTAGCACAGAACCTTCTGGGCTGGACTCCAGAAGCTTCCAAGAACCCATCTGCCTATCCTGGCCCGAGCTTGGTCCAAATGGCCCCTCTAGTCTCGAATCACCTCTGGGCAGTGCTGCCTGGGTTGGTTGGGATCTGCCCGATCAGTCAGCCCCTGAACACATGACTTCCTTGACACTGTCCTGGTGGAATGAGGCAGACACAGGCAGCGACCTCCCCAGGCCCTGGAGCTCTCCCCCCGACAATGGCCCCTGCCTGTGTCCCAAACCCAGCCCCCCATGCCTCCCCCAGGCTGTTACAGAGGAGTTCACATCCGTCTCCAGGTGTGGGTTGAGGCCATCTCAGAGAGACTGTGAGAAAATTAATTACTGAATGTATGTAAACGAGCTTTGAAGATGAAAAGTGCAAACGCACAGTGCCCTTAATAACATCTTCAATACTTTAACAGAGCCTGAGTCGTGGCTGAGCTCACCTTTAAGACGAGTCTCTGGGGAGTTGCTGGCAAACTCCCCAAGCCAATAAACAACATAAAATGGCTTTTCACTCCTTTCATGCAGCCAACGCCAGGTCTGCCCACCAATAAAAGGACCGGAGAGGATCAGAGCGACCCGAAGGATTCTCAGCCTCACACCCTGCAGCCCACACCAGCCTCCACAGCCTCTCAGACTCCGCTCGGACCCCCACGATGTCCTGCCGCTCCTACAGGATCAGCCCCGGATGTGGGGTCACCAGGAACTTCAGCTCCTGCTCGGCCGTGGCCCCCAGAACCGGCAGCCGCTGCTGCATCAGCGCCGCGCCCTACCGAGGGGTGTCCTGCTACCGGGGCCTGACAGGCTTCGGCAGCCGCAGCCTCTGTAGCCTGGGCCCCGGCGGGCCCCGCATGGCTGGGGGGGGCTTCCGCGCCGGCTCCTGCGGGCGCAGCTTCGGCTACCGCTCTGGCGGCGTGTGTGGGCCCAGCCCCCCCTGTATCACCACCGTGTCGGTCAATGAGAGCCTCCTCACGCCCCTCAACCTGGAGATCGACCCCAACGCCCAGTGCGTCAAGCACGAGGAGAAGGAGCAGATCAAGTGTCTCAACAGCAGGTTCGCCGCCTTCATCGACAAGGTGAGCCAGACCTGGAATGGCCCCAGAGGACCTCAGGGCCACCCTGCCTCGAGAAGCTCCTGATCTGGTTGGGGAGATGGCTGGCTGCTCAGCCGGAGGCAGCAGAGGGAGAGAAAAGCAGACCAGTGCAGGTGGAAGGGTTGATTTGCATTGGTTAATTTCAGCCATGTTTAACGAGGTCCAGGTATAGTCCTGAGGTTCAGAGTGTGTTGCGCCCTCTGAGCCAAGACGACATCAGAGCCATGCCTGAGAAACTAGACTGGGCACGAGGTGCTGGAAGGGTGAGAAGTCACAGGGAGCAAGGTGGGCATCGTGGTTCATGGCCTGGGTGGTCCTCAAGGTGGCTCAGAGCCACCGAGTCCTTGCTGGGCTGCTCTCAACAAGGTGAGAGCCAGGTAACAGACCTGCCTCATCAGCGCTTGCTGAAGTTCAATGAGTTCTTGCATGAAAAGTGCTGGCAAACAGCAAGCGCCCAATAAATGTTAGCTCCTATATCATTGCTTTCCAAGGACAGTAGTGGGTGAGAGATGAGACAGTGAACCAGCCCAGGCTTGGTCGCCCCTCATGGAGGGAAGGCTGGAGTGCAGATGGGACAGGGACCAGGCTGACAGGAGACCTCCAGTGCAGCCCAAAGGTGGAAAATGTTGCACAGCTGAGAAGCTGCCTCCCAAGAAGGTCTGGGGGAGGCTGGTGGCATCCTTCACAGGCCTGTAGCAGAGCAGAAGGGCCAGGCTTGGGGGCTTGGGGTCAGGGATCGAGAGGCAGAGGGGGTGACCTTCCTGTTCTTATGCTTTCCTTGGTGATCTTAGTTCATCCTAGAATGACGGGATGGGGCGAGTGGCAGCAACTCCATTTCATAGAAAGTGCATTGGAGCTGAGGGTTTAAACGAGCTGCTCAGACACACTGTGGTGTGCAGGTGGAGGTGGGTGACAGGGCTCAAGGGTCTCAAATCCTCATTCCACTTACTAGTGAGCCGGCCATTCACACCTTGTGGTCTCAGATTCTCCATTTGTACCTCTCCATGGGGCTGTAATAATTGAATAACATGTATAGATAGAGGATATAGACATGGACATGGACGTAAATGCAGAAGTAGACATAGACGTGAACATAAATGTAGACGTGGGTATAGACGTAGACATGGACGTGGATATAGACATGGACGTGGACATAGATGTGGATGTGGACAAAGATGTAGACATAGACATGGATGTAGATGTAGACATAGATGTGAACATAGACATAGACATGGACATAGACATAGATGTGGACATAGACATAGATGTAGACATAGACATAGACATGGGCGTAGACATAGACATAGATGTAGACATAGACATAGACATGGACATAGACATAGATGTAGATATAGACATAGATGTAGACATAGACATAGACATGGACATAGGCATAAACATAGATGTGGACATAGACATAGATGCAGACATAGACGTGGACATGGACATAGACGTGGACCAAGACGTAGACATAGACGTGGACATAGACATAGACGTGGACATAGACGTAGACGTGGATAAAGACGTAGACATATACGTGGACATAGACATGGACACAGACATAGACAAGCATGTGAATGTAGATGTAGATGTAGACATAGACGTGGACATAGATATGGACATAGATGTGGATGTAGATGTGGACATGAACATAGTTGTAGACGTGGATGTAGATATAGACATGGACATAGACATAGATGTGGATACAGATGTAGACAGACATAGCCGTGGACAAAGATGTAGACATAGACGTGAACGTAGACATAGACATAGACATGGACATAGACATAGACACGCACCTGGATGTAGTCGTAGATGTAGACATAGACGTAGATACAGATGTGGACCTAGATGTAAACATAGATGTGGACATGAGTATAGACGTGGACATAGGTGCAGAAGTAGACATAGACATGAACATAGTTGTAGACGTGGATGCAGACGTAGACATGGACATAGACATAGGTGTAGATGTAGATGTGGACACAGATGTGGACATGGACATGGATGTGTGTGCCTTAGCACAGGCCCCAGCACCACGTAGTGAATATCCAATAAGTGTTTGCAACATAAATAAACAAGTAAAGGGCAACTGGTAATTATAATAATAGTTAATTTGCCGGAGAACTTACTATGTGTCGGGGACCGCTCTAAGCACCTTGCGTGTCTTAACGTGCTCAGTCTTCACAACCATGCTGGGGGAGGCACTATTATCTCCATTTCAGCAATGAGAAAAGCGAACTGGAGAGGCTAGACAACTTGCCCACTCAAAGCAGCGAAGCTAGGACTTGAACCAGACCTTTGGCCTCGAGCCAGGTTGCTTTCCCTCATACCCACAACAGCCTGCCCAGAGGCCTGGGGAGAGGGGCCCTAGAACCTCAGACACTCAACCCCACATCTCATCCCTTTCAGCCAGCACCCAAAGGCAGAGAGACCTCCAAGGGTGCAAGGGTGTGGGGGGGGACCAGGCCCTACCCCAGGCTCCCTCTGAGTCTCTGTCCTCCCCACCTGCGACAGGTGCGCTTCCTAGAGCAGCAGAACAAGCTGCTGGAGACCAAGTGGCAGTTCTACCAGAACCGCCAGTGCTGTGAGAGCAACCTGGAGCCACTCTTCAGTGGCTACATCGAGACGCTGCGGCGGGAGGCCGAGTGTGTGGAGGCCGACAGTGGGAGGCTAGCCTCAGAGCTCAACCACGTGCAGGAGGTGCTGGAGGGCTACAAGAAGAAGTGAGTGTGGCCTGCCCACCAAGGAGGAGTCGAGGGAAGGCGGGAGGCTCTGCCTCTAGCCCTCTTGCAGAAGCTTCCTTGGGAATCCTCCAGCAGGCTGCTGGGGCCCAGGGTGCCCCGTGGGGCCGAGGTTCCTTCAGATTCCTTGGCTTCACTTCTGAAATGCCACCCTGCGAGTCTGGGCACTAGCTTCCAGGGCGTGAGGACAGGACCTCTGTGGGGTTGTACAGACATCTGTGTTCCCGACCCTTCACAGTTCCCCTTCATGCATGGGCTGTGTTCTTGCTGCCAGGGGACCAGTTATCTTGGGATCTAGGATGCACTGATGATTTTAGACCCTGGCCCAGAGGCAGAAGCACTGAGGTGGACTAAAGCCAGGCTGAAACAAGGGCTAGTCCATAAATAATTTGCAGCATAGACATAGACTCTGGAGAGGCCGAGACAGCATCTGTGAGGCCATTCCTGTCCAGCCCCTGGCAGAACTTGCCTGGGAGCTGGGCCAGTATCAAGGTGCAGCCTCTCAGCTCAGCCCTTCTCCCTCCCACACCTAGGTACGAAGAGGAGGTGGCCCTGAGGGCCACGGCAGAGAACGAGTTTGTGGTTCTGAAGAAGGTGAGGGGGCTGGCCATGGGCAGGGGGAGGGACACCTGCCTGTGTCGCCACAAACTAGTGGCACCTCCCTGTGACCTCCTCCCACGTGCACGTCTCTCCTCTGCATTCCCCTGGCAGGATGTGGACTGCGCCTACCTGCGGAAATCAGACCTGGAGGCCAACGTGGAGGCCCTGGTGGAGGAGTCCAGCTTCCTCAAGCGCCTCTATGAAGAGGTGAGAGGGCACCTGCCATCCAGCCAGGGCAGGGGGGGTGCAGTGGGCTGGGAGTGCAGATGTGAGCACGTGCTTGCCTGTGTGCGACGTGAGTGCCAGAAGAGCCAGTGTACACAGGCCAGGGGCCCACAGCACAGAGGCCACGGCCACGTGTGTGAGAAGCACAGGGTTGCACGTGCTGGGCTGCTCTCCGTGTGTTGGAGGGTGCGTGCTGTGTGCCGTGTGTGTGTCAGTCTAGAGATGGGTTCGGAAGTGTGCCTGTGGGGTAGGGTCAGGGGATCCCACCTGGGGAGTGGTCTTGATTAATGAGCTAGTCACTCATCCTGTCCCTCAACTCCAGCTGCCCACCGGGTAACTTTGGGCCTTTTCTACCCGCTAGGCCTCAGTATCCCCATTTGTTAAGTCAGAGGCTGTTCCCAGGGCCCCGACAGCTCTGTTGTTTTGTAACAAGCCTGGGTGTGAGTGACGGTGGGGGAAGTGGGAGTCATGCAACATTCATAACAAGTGCCTGCTCCCGGAAGAGGAGGCTGCCCCTGGGGGTGCAGTACACGGCCAGGTCAGGTGTCAGAGCCAAATGCACTGGCTGTTGGCCCCACAGGAGATCCGAGTTCTCCAAGCCCACATCTCAGACACCTCGGTCATCGTCAAGATGGACAACAGTCGCGACCTCAACATGGACTGTGTGGTTGCTGAGATCAAGGCTCAATATGATGACGTTGCCAGCCGCAGCCGGGCTGAGGCTGAGTCCTGGTACCGCAGCAAGGTGAGTGGCACCGGACACCTGCCTCCTGGACGTGGCAGCAAGAGGGATGCAAGGGACCTATTAAAAAAGGCTTCTAGCCAGGCTCGGTGGCTCAGCCTGTAATCCCACACCTTGGGAGGTTGAGG